GTGACATTGTGTTTTTAAATGTTAAGTTTTAGACTGGGTTCAGTGTGGCAGCAACGTTAAGAGTATACACCTGATGATGGCCGATAGAGGCCGAAACATGTAGTGTAGAAAGAACAAGATCAAAGACATATAAATGTATATTGTTTGCACTTAGGACGGAGTTTGTATCATAAACTCTGTGGTTTTCAGGGATGTGTGGGTGGGTGTGTTGTCATAATGAAGGAACCAGTTGTGGTTGCACCAAAGTTCTGGTCTTTTCCACTGCACATTTTCTTCAAGCGTCTAAAATATCACAGTAAAAGTTAGAGTTGACAGTGCAACCATAAATCCAACTTTCACTGGTTCCTTGTTAGCCTTCTCTCATAGCTCAAGATACATGTTTATGTGCTGCTGCTTTTGATCGTTTGTCAAGAGTCTAGTACTCTGGTCTCTTGGAATTCAATCCAGTGGTCTGATTCGGTGCTGTGTTCTGCCACTGCAGACTTGTCAAGCTGATACAAACATAGATATCATTCATGTTCTTTGCATCCTGTTTTAATGGATTGGCCTGTCCTATATTCACTTCTCCACATTCCCATGTTAACACTGCAGACCCCAGAAGCTTTTAGTCCTATCTAATCGTTCACTGGTCCCAATATGTGAGAACTATTCTTAGCAGGGATATAGATTGGCTGTTCATTTACACATGCAGTACTGACCATACTCATTAATTGTGTAAACATAATTTACGTATGTGACATAGAATGTCTGAGTGCTGAAATCTGACATTTAAGAAATACATCAAACAGAATGGGTAGAATGTCACAGCCTTTAACAGAGCCATGGATAAAAAACAAAAGAACATAAAAAGACAAACTGACTGGTGTAGCCTCTTTACTTTTGCAATAGTCAGCATCACACAAGATCAGGAGGTCACTGGGAAAACTTACGATAAAGAGGGTCCAAAGCCCACAAAGGAATTTTCTTATACATTAGAGTACTGTATGTGTTAAATATACCATGTTGGAAATATTCTAAAATTCTAGCAATGTGGTATCAAGCCAAAATAATGCCTATATTAAAAAAAGAAACATGTGATAATTATCACAGAATTACCCTTCTTCATACCAAATACAAAGTTTATGGAAGCATCATTAACAAAAGAATTCAAAATAATGCTGAAACCTTATTACTAGAAAATCAAGATAGATTTAGACAAGGGCACTCGTGTGCCACAATGTTTTTACAATAAAACAAATAGCAGAAATAAGATAATTAATAAAAAAACACACTTTGCCTTCACTGACCTACAAAAATTATTGAGGAGGTAGATGGAAAGAAGCTGTGGAAATGATGGCTGAAACAGATTGCCTAAACCATTTAATACATTATTAAAATTTCAGCACTACCATCACGTTGATATACTGATGGTGAGATATTAAAAAGGACAAAGGTTGACCGAGTGGTCAATAGTGGCATGATGTTCACACCAGGTTTAAAAAGGACAAAGGTTGATGGAACTGAAAAATTACCAGGGACTGACAAACACATGGACATGATGGTCACAATACATAAACATGTTTCCTTTGTCATCACCACATGACACAGCGACATCATTCTTGAATCAGTTAATAAAATCTATCGATGCACGTGATCCTTACTAAACTTCACTAACGGAACTTACTTTAGACAAAATGGGCAATACAAATTACAAATTAATGTGAAATTCCAACTCCGCAATTGTGAGGTTGATATTTTCAAGGTAAGCAACTTTTGTAAGAAATATAATGCTGCAATTTTTCCATAAAATCAACATTAGAAATCACATATTTATATCACATTATGATTTTAGCAACCATAAACAAATTTAGATATTGGTGGAAAAAGAAAATGAGGGTTTTCATCCTACTGTAACAGATTACTCAGAACAGTACAGTCATCATGCCATGTACTACTGAAGCTGGTATATAGCAATGTAACGACTGGAACATAGCTGTTTCTTTGAGCAGACACTAAAAGATAACTTTGTTTGATTATGATGTAAGTCTACTTACATAACATTGAACTTGTAGTGGCGAATAAAAAACTGATGTGGATTGTCAGCACAAACAAAGACAATTTCTTGAAACTCCTTAGTGTCCAGATGTGCCCACTGGGGTGATGGTAGTCTCTTGATCTCATGTTGTACTTTTTCTAACATTGGAACTGTGGTACAGAAAAATGAAATACTTGCAATAATGGTACATCAAAAGATCGGAAGGCTTAAAAATGTCATTTTCATGTTCCTTAAACAGGTGTTCAGTGGGTAGCATGGCATATTCTCTGGTTGCAGACAGAGGAAATAAATTAGAAAACATAAGCGAAGCCCATAAAATAAAAATAAGACAATTTCCCAAATATGAAAGCTCTTAATAGGACTGTATTACTGTTGAAATGACATTTAAGTTTAACCCATGTACTCAACAAAGGCACAGCAACAGAAGAACAGTGTTTTCTGTGCAGTCCATGCTGAGATGTTATAAGCAGGTTGAGTTAGTGGACAGTGTTAGTTGAGAGGAGTGGAGTTGGTTGGTGAGTGAATGAGGACTCCTGCAGTTCAGTCCATGTGAGCTGCTGCTGTTAGAAGCTGGTAGCTGCGGCACAGCGGCAGTTCAGGAACCCAAAGGAAGGGGAATCTCCACTGTTGAAAGCTGTTAACAGAAGACTGGTGAAGACATAGTATGTGATGTAGTGAACTGTAGAGTGTGTGAATTAGTGATAGCGCTATAGTTACTTGTAGTTACAGTCTGTGAGTGTTCAATAAATCCAATTATCGATCCAAACCCCATCTACAGTCACTCACACGTGGCAATATTGCAGGGTGTAGACCCATTACTAGGTAGCGACTGTGAAACAAACATGTTCCCACAGCAATGAGTTCACATGCAACAGAGGAAAGGTTGGAAACAGTGTTCTCTACACACTCGGCACCAAGGGGTTATATAATGAGGACACCAGCTGAGCAGTAGTCAGTTGTATTTACCCATCTTGTCATTAAGAACATACAACATATCTGTAATGAAGGTAGTATATACTGTGCTGAAGTAAAATATTTGTCTTTGCTATAGGTAGGTACAGCCTGTCCATCTAAATGACAGACTTTGAAATATTTACCTTTCTCATAGGCAGGAACTGCCAGTCCTCCTACATGACAGAGTTCATACAATTTCTTCAAGTGACCTGGATTGCTAACACCAAATCCACATTTCACCAATTCCTTGCTCAGAGATAGTTCCACCACATATGTGTCCAAGCTGGTAAGGTAGTTGCGATATTCTAGTGGTTCTAACCACAAAGTATTTCCTGCACTCAACATAACCTGAAAACAACACATTATAATATACATTCTGGTGTTTACTTTCATAGCTTTTACAGGTTCTCAATTATGCCCAGATTCATCACAAGAATGCAGAATAAAGTCAGGAAATAGACCTTTCAAAAATGTGCAAAGATAAGAAATCTGGGAAGGACATCTACAAATGAACACCAGTCATATAAAAGTTAACACTTTCATACAAATCAACTCTGCTGATGGCTGACCTGCCAGTTCAGTTCATTCTTCTCAGTATACAAACAGTTAACAATGTTTCACAATAAAGAAATGGGTAGCAAATGACCTACACATGTCAAAAGAACTGAAAATGTGAACACACACAATTTGGTGCAAGAGAGGAGAAAACTATGTGCTCAAAGTGCATTCTGAAAGAGAAATATTATGGCTCATCATGGCATGTTACTACGCAACCCAGGTCAGATATGGAAGGCCAGGCAAACCATCAGTAAAGAACCAAAATCAGATAGGGATTGAATAGCATATGAGAATTAAGGTTCTCATGGCAGTGACTATGAAGATTACTCTCTTCTGGGATGTTACACTATGCAGCTTAGCATGCAAGTTCCTCTAAAAAGTTTGTATGTATCTACCAAACTACAGGGCATCACATCCGGAATAGTAATATTCATGTTAAGCGAAGATTACATTTAAGGAATACTTACTATTATGCAGTCCAGAATCTCCTGTCTTCCTTTCTCCTAATAAAAAGCTTATAATTAAAATAAAACACACTATATATCTTTATATGTTGTTTTGCATTGGTATGAGACACTATCTCTGACCTAAAGAGAGGTTTTAGACCACAGTGCTCAAAAGAATACTTGTACTTAAGAGAGTTGCTAACAGGAGGATGAAGAAAATTTCATAATGAGTTTCATATTTTGTACTCTTCTGTGAATATTAAGATGGAGGTGGGCAAGACATGTAGCATGTACAAAGGAGCAGAGAAATGCAGACAAAATCTGATGGGAAGAGACAAGAAGAGATGCATAAAAAACTTATGTATAGAGAGATGTATAATAATAAGGCAGGTTTTTAAATTTACCATGTAAAATTGTGTGCTGATTTCATCTAGCTCTGGATATGATCCAGTGCTAGGTTCTTATGAGCACAGTAATGATCCTTTGTGTTCCATAAAAGGCAGAAAATTTCTTGGTCAGCTGAGAGACTATCAACATTTCAAGAGCACCTCTGCTCCATGGAAATAGTTTAGGCATAGCTACAACTTACATCCACAAATGATCTGTACTGTATAAATGTACCTTTCCGACTAAGAATTTTCCATCCACTTCTCCGCTGTTAATATCATCAATCCAATCATTCATCTTACAATTCACAGTCTCACTCCAGTCTGTGTCCAAGTCGCATGGTATCACATTACACAGAAATATATCAACTACTTGAGGGGGCAGTTTTTGTAGGTCTTCAGGCAGGGCAAGAAGTTGGTACACCTGAATAACATTTAGATGCAGATATACACATTAATAATCAGGAAACGGAAATACACCAGTTACAATATTGTACTGATGGTAAAGGTAAAGGGAATTTGCCCTGTGTTTAAGTACCATGTAATGAAGACATACGAGAAATAAAAGTAAAGCTCTGAATGCCAGTGTCCTTAACCAAGGCTCCAGATGGAGGTGGTTAGTGTCACACTACAGCCAGTTTACTCATGGAAAGGGCTCTGTAGCTCATTAGACAGAGGCTAAGTAGGCTCAGAACTAGAGATGAAGAGAAAAAATTCCATTCCTGGCTTAAGAGTAATATACAATTTGATATTAAAATAGTGCATGCACATTTATAAGTGCAGAGGAAAAATAAATTATAGCGTTACTATTAAACATGCACACTTTGAATCACACATTACAATATTGCGCAGATACACATGAAGAAGCAACCAAAGTTAAGGAATCTATGAAGGATACTTTCCCCAGAGGTAAAGCAGCCAAAACATAACATTAGCTGCTATCTTCATCTAGTTCCGAGGTTAAAAACACATGGAACTTTACCTCTGCTCCCATTTACATCTTCATAATATGGTGCTTAGCAAAGAGAAAACTATATCACAACAAAATACTGCAAGAACTCAACACTTTTAATTATCTAGAACAGTGATTCTCAAGTGCAGCCATCATGAGCATATGCTGCTCCAGAACGTCATGTGTGACCGACAGATATTTTCATTACTAATAAACAAGTCTTCTGTTGGAAATCACAATATAATACCACTATACATCCACACACAATATACCACCCTTCATTTCTACGCAGACGAAATCAGGAATCAAGTGCTTGAACACACACACACACACGCACACGCGCACGCGCACGCACGCACGCACACACACACACACACACACACACACACACACACTGATTTTCACTTCAGCTTTAAATCCGGAAGTGTTGATTGAAGTGTTCCTTCAGTTGTCCAATGAGCTGGAAGTTGCAAGGTGCAACATTCACACTGTATTGTGAATGGACCAAATATCTCCAGAAGTTTCAATGTGACACTGGCTGGATGGGACTGGGTGATGTCAAGGAGAAGGGTACCTTTACCTCTGTGTAAGCCACCGTACTCCCTCCAGATGACTTCCTTCAGGTGAAAGTTTTTGCAGGAGTAGTCTGCATTCACAGTTGCCCTCCTGGTCAAGAAACTCAAAGAGGAGAATGCCCTGCATCCAAAAATGCCACCAACAACACCCTTCTTCAAAAAGTGTTGTACGTGGATGAGAAAGATTTCAATTTGCCATGCCTTCTGGTCTGCACTCAGTTGCCTGGGCACCCATCCTGCTAATACTGTGGGAAATTCTGGCACACTGCAGATGATGTAGGATGCTGTAAAGATGTTTGCACTTGCAGCATCCTGGAGCACAGTCACCCATCACCCACCTGTTCTCTTGCACCAGGCCTTCCAAACATACCATACTGCTGTCTGCTGCTGAGGTTGATAGCCTGCCATTGTGCAGCTCTTCAGCCAATGCTTAGCATCCAGCTGCAAACTTCATGCACTATTCAAACACATTCCCAGACTGTTGCTGCAATGGCCAGTATGAAGGATCACAGGATACTGTTAGTGTTTGCACATGTAGTTTATAATTTTCTCTCTGGGTGGAAACATGTCTGAAAATACTGTGTTGCTATTTTACACTTATGCATTACCAGAATATGTATTATTATTCAGACATTGTTAACATGTAAGTGTGGCCTAAGAGCCAATCACTGTTCCCATATTTCATTCAGCTTCTGGAAGTGTAAGCGTTTATGCTCCAATCAGAAGCACTGTGTGAGTCAGCCTAAAGGAAAAGTAGAGAACGCAGTTCCTGCTTATCACAAAGATTACTCCCTGATGTTGTTCTGAGTTAACATAATTTGTCTATGTAGTACAATTAAGTATTAAGAGTTCCTCAGTCACACTGTCATCAGCAATGAAATGTGGATCATCACTTCACCCTGACACTGAAGATAGCACTGATGGAGTGAGACCACATATCACCACAAAAAATAATTCCAAGAAACTGCTGTCTGTGGAGTGGATGAAGATGATGACATTTTGGGATGCATGGAGCATTATTCTTACACTTCTTGAGCACAGAACATAACAACATTGTAAACCAGTGGCACCTGAAGGAATCAGTCCGGATGAAATGCCCTGGTTTGTTAACAGAGAAAGTGATCCTTCTCCATGACATCAACCTCCATATAATACAATTCCTGGAGCACTTTCATTGGCTGTGTCTTGCCATTTACCATACATCCTTTATAAATGCCTAGCCACTGACCCACAAAGACCTGCAGGGTGGGGAGAAAAGCTAGATACAGTGGGAGGATACTTTGTATCCCAAGGGTACTGCTCATTATACACTGCTCCACCTGTGACACACAGGCATGGGCAGAGTCAACACTTTGCCTTAGAGCATTATTGTTTTTGGTCAGCCAGTCCAGACTGTTGCTTCTGGCTAGGCTAACCTACTGCTTCCAGGGTCCAGCACTTGAAGGTGAGTGTCACTTACTGAACATCCTACATGCAAAGCACTTGCTAGCTTAATATTATTACAAAGCAGAGAACTGGTTACACTAATTAAGATAGTGTAGTGAAGACATTTAAATATACATAAATTTAGACACTGGAAGTAATTAAGTGATTAAAGTTCTAATATTATTTGCTAAAAATATTAATGTATAATTGTCAAATAAGATAAAAGGTGTACAATAACTATGAGTGAAATATGTGCAGTGACTCATTAATCAAAATGGAAAGCATATAGTCAACACAGTTCAAATGTTAAAATATAAATTTGGCTGATTGTATTGTAACATTAACCTTATTCTGGAAGTTATTACCTCACTGTTATTAGCCAGTTTGCTCCTGTCCACTACTATTTCAATGTAACATCACTCCTCTGTCCTCTTTTTGCATCATGCACTGAACTAACTTGCAACAACTCAGAGCATGCTACGCTTCACATCTAGTTATCCATACACATCTGCTCTGTGATGTTTCTAAGTTCAAAATGATGGGGACATCTGTGGGTCTAGAGAGAGAGCTATGCTGCACCCCGACCCACCAAGTCCCACATGTTTCATGGGGCACACACCAGGTTATGCTAAATTCGATCGTTGAAGAATAAAGACATGATTACAGATTGTGCCAAAAAAACCACACACAAGGAAGAAATAATAATAAGTCAGGGTAACAGTGTTAATCAATGCAATAATAATTCACAACAATTAAATGCTACATGCTTGCCTTAACAACAGTGAATATTCCTTCATCTAAGAATTTTATTTTCAGTTCTTCAGGAATGCCTTTTGTGTCTTCTTTCACAACCTCCACAACCTGAACTCGCTGGAAGATGTTAATCTTAGTCTCCACTGAACATATGTCTCCAAGTTTAGGAATCCCATGTAACAACCTGAAATTCAGTTTCTTTTAAACAAATGCTCATCTCAATATATTTAGCAATATTAAATTCCTAAACCTGTGTCAGGGAAAGAAGAAATAAATTATTTCTCATCCACCTGCTTAATGGTTACCTCTCCTCTGCCTGCCTTCCCCCACTCCATCAATCAGACGTCTCTCATGAATTTAAATCGACGAGTAATTTCATTTTATTAAAATAAATTAATTAGAATAACTATTTTACTGCTTTTCAGCCTATGTTCCTTATTTTAAAAAATAAACATAGGCTTATGAGATTGCCTTGCTCTTGTGTGTGTGTGTGTGTGCATGATTTTCCAAATATGTAACACTAGGAAACTGATAGTTCCTATGGCTTTTGTCACTAGAACTATGTCTTTATTATAAGCGACAGTGGTTCTACTGTTGTTTCACTGTGCTCACTTTCTTAAGCAGCACTCTGCCAAAATATGTGAGAAGTCATTATTTTAGTTGTTACTTATTTGTTAATGAAATTATTTCAAAAAGGAAAGAGTGGGCAATTTTTTAATAATGTAAGCGTTCAAAAACTTAGGCTTCTGCAAAACTCTGCCACACAGACCAAATCATTTCACTTCTCCTGTACCCATGTTCTGAACTGGCATTACAAAACAAAGTTATCATTCAAATGACACTTTAGAGCATATGTTCCCGTAAAAACGTTCATGCTAAACAAAAGGTCAATACATTTCTACTTTACCAAATTTCTGTTTCTGAATAAATATATTTGCAATACATTTTAAAAGTTAGTAATCTGTGACATTTACTTGGAAAATTTTAAATTTGCTTTACAAGATGCCATTAAGATGGTCCAAGAAAATCAGGAAGGTTGGCAATTGAATATCACATCAGCTTCTGATCTATGCAGATGATATTGTCATGTGTATGACAGACTACAGACAGGATTTGGATTGATAATCTGATTCACTGAACACTTACACACACAACTAGTAAGTACAAGAAACAGAAGCGCTATTTCCAATTCACTCTTCAATTCACTTGGCACACACTTAAGTCTTCTCAGCTTCAGATTCTAACAGCAACAGCTAGCAAGGACTGAACTGCAGCAGTCCTCCAACTCACTCACTCAGTCACCAACCAACTCACTCTACTCCACTAACTCTCACTAATTGTCCTGCTTATAACATTTCACAATGAACCATACAGAAAACGCCATTCCTCTGTTGCTCTTTAATTGCTGTTTAGCGAACCACACAGAAAACACTATTCCTCTATTGCTGTTTGAGGGCCACTGCCTAGCAATGGTTGATGTATGGTTGCCTATCTTGTGGTTGCTGCGTATCAATGGGTTTACATGCCACATTATTTATTTGGTAAAAATATAAATGTCATTAAAAAAGAAAAAAAATATATTAGACACTAGTAAGAGCATTGCCCTATGAGCTAATGTCGAGATAAGTATATATAGTATGCGCCAAAAAACAGTACTGAAATGAAAAGACGTCCTGTTGATACCACTGTCTATTCATGTGAAGGCCCCTTGCATGACAGAACCTTCTCAAATTCTGAAGAAATGGTCCGATCACCATGTCTCTGTAGCATTCTTGGGTGACAGTAAGAGCATTGCCTTCCTCATCCTCAATGAAATAGGGGCCTAATATACCGTGGGCTGAGACAGCACACCATATCATCACACGTGTACTATGTAGAGATTTCTGGACGATAACATCTGGCCACTCAAAACCAATGAAGCGAGTTGTCTNGCATTGCCCTATGAGCTAATGTCGAGATAAGTATATACAGTATGCACCAAAAAACAGTACTGAAATGAAAAGACGTCCTGTTGATACCACTGTCTATTCATGTGAAGGCCCCTTGCATGACAGAACCTTCTCAAATTCTGAAGAAATGGTCCGATCACCATGTCTCTGTAGCATTCTTGGGTGACAGTAAGAGCACTGCCTTCCTCATCCTCAATGAAATCGGGGCCTAATATACCGTGTGCTGAGACGGCACACCATATCATCACACGTGTACTATGTAGAGATTTCTGGACGATAACATCTGGCCACTCAAAACCAATGAAGCGAGTTGTCTGGTGACCACTTCTGTATGAGCGGAAATAATACTCAACTATGAATACTTTTTCCTCCGTCGAGAGATCCATTTCCAACAACAACTGCACAACACAACTTCCTTTTCACTACTGGGAACACGTGCAGCTGGAGCTATGCCCTGTCGACAAACGCACATGTGCGTTCAAGATGCGCGAGTTTCAGTACTGAATATTTTGGCGCATACTGTATATATACGCTCATGACTCATCTTCTATAACAACATAAGACAAAACCATAATCTGAAAACAGCTAATAGATTTCTGACAAGAAGTTCTGTGAAGAACTAACTGCCTACTTTCCTTTAATAAAACATGGGCTGCATAGGAAATGATGCCTCCAACAATTCTTAATTGCCATGCCAATGAATTTAGTAAGCCACTGCATAGCAATGACTGGGAGGATACACATACAGACACACAGACTGATGGGTGGGATTTATGAAGTATGCCACTGAGACACATACAAAGTTTCATAAAGACTGTTTCAGGCATTCAAAATTTGACAGGGGGCCATACACATATAGACACAGAGAGAGCAAGGTGATGTCATAGTTCAATTACTTGGAAATAACATAAATAAAAATTGCATTCAATTTGAAACACACAGTCACAATCTTATTAAATTCCAGAAAAAGATAAAAATCAGGGGAATAAATTTCTGAATCCTGAGAGAAGAAGCAAAATAAAAGAGAAAAAATTAGAGGTATCAAACTGTTGTATTCTGAAGAATGAAATAACAAAAATAAAGAGTAGCTTGAATTCTGGGAACACTTGCATAGTGCATTGACGTTAATGTTCATTTTTTGCAAATATAAATCTATTTTAAAGGAAACAGTTTTCCCTGTACATTGCTAAATATGCACCTTATCAAAACTGTTCCAAATAAAATCCCAATAAGACCTTTATTCTTCTATCTCTATATACAAACTTTTTATGATGTAGGTATCAGTCTGCAGAAAACTGAGTCTCATTTGAACTTCATGTAATGTGTTATATTTGATTAAAATTCAAGATGCAGTATCACCAATTTGTACTATATTATTATTTTAAACCCATTCAGTGGTTTCACAATTGAAATATGTGGACTGACACAATCTCAAAATTATATATTGCACTATACACTTTTCACAAACAATGCAAGGAACTAGTATAAAACATATTTCAATAATGCACATTAAGATATAATTAATGGTACAAATTCACTTATAAATGTATATAACAAGGGACATAAAGGCGAATAAAAAATTCCTTTCCTCCAGTAAATTATAAGAGGTAATTAACAAATGCTCTTTTGTATTGTCAGTACCTGTTTTTCTCATCACTGTAATGTGAATACATTGCCATGTTAACTGTCAAGTACTCATCAGGTATGATAACTGGGCGTCCACCAACATCTGTGTGCTCCAAAAGACGAGCGGAGAAGTTGCTAGCATTGTGAACATGCAGGATCTTCACTTTTACGTCACCACGACTGGAAACATAAAGTCACACTCTCATAAAATGCAGGAAAAACTTAAGTCTGGAAAGCCTGCACTCTGTGATATAAGTACAGAAAATTCCCAACATTTTCTGCAGTTTCTGAACCTTACTTGTGGCTGGTTTATAAATGGCATGACAACAAAACACAATACATATTACATAAAATGATCAAAATTCATATTTGAACAACATGATAACGCATGTATCATATTGCATATATATATGGATACTTACAACGGAATATTGCAAGGTCTGTCAATAGCATCCACAATAACATGACGACTTCTACATACTGTCCTTTCCAAGCATTCACCAAAAGCTTTCAAACAGTAGCAGAGAGGAAAGGCGAGTTTCTGAGATTCCTTCTGAAGTAAAATCTCCTGCACATATAAACATTTCTCTATAAACTTATGAATGTCACAGATATAAGAAGGATCATTTAAGAAGTTCTTATTCAAACTGTTTTTAACCCAAAGAGTACCAGCTTTATTTCTTGCACCACCAGACCAGTTTATTATCAAATGCAAATGTTTTGTAAGCAGTTTTCTGTACTTTTATACAAGCTACTGTTGTGCACTACTTTAAAATTATATGACCTAAGGATTAGAAGAGAGAATTGTATTCAAATAGTTCTGAAATAGCTATGCCAAGGGCGGACAATTATTTTTGCTTGGTAGCCAGGTGGGGTAATTCTGGATGGCTATGAGGGAAAGAACTTCATGTTACAAAACTCTGTAGTTAAAAATTCAGTACCCAGCAATTAGTCAGAATGACAAAACATACACAGTGTAGCCAGGTTCTGTTAGGACTGTGTTCATTAAAAATACAAGACGTGAATTATTTTAGAAAATTTCACTCCTTCTGAATGAATACATAGCTGGAATTGATTGAAAAGTTTTAAAAAACAGTCACTGTACTCCTTTTGTGGAATTGCATTTAACACTGCGGTACATTCCCTTTGGATGTCCTGGCTGGTGTTGTGACGGTTTGCTTTCATCGCCAACTTAACTTTTGGGAACAACCAGAAATCTGCTGGAGCCAAATCTGGTGAATACAGAGGATGAGCAAGGACTGTGATCCCTTTTCTGGCCAAAAATCACGCACGATCTTTGATTTGTGGGGTGGGGCATTGTCGTGGAGGAGCGACCGGGAACCTTGCTCTCGATATTCAGGTCAAATTCAAAGAATTCTCTCCCACAAACGATTGAGGACTCCAAGATAATAATCAGAATTCACTGTATGACCTTCTGGCAGAAATTCCTTGTGATTGATTCCTTTGGAATCGAAGAAAACGGTTAGCAGTGTCTTTACTTGACTCTTTTGCATGTGCACTTTCTTTGGTTTTGGCTTCTTTCAGTTCAACCATGCTGCACTCTGCCACTTTGTGAGAGGTTCATATTGTAAACACCATGTCTCGTCATCAGTAACAATTGATTTTATAAATTTTGTATCGCTTTGGGCCGACCGTAACATGTCTTTGCAGTGTTCCACTCTGCCATGTTTTTCAACGCCTGAGAGCGCATGCGATAAAAACCGCGCACAGACCTTCCGTTTGCCCAAATCCTCAGTCAAAATTTGATGCACATTACTTTTTGGTATTTCCAAAAGATCCTCGATGAGTCTTACAGAAACACATCTGTCTGATGCAAGGATTTCGGTTGCTTTTTTTTTTTACTTTTTCTTCAGTGCGACTTGTTTTCGGCTTTGATGTATATGGAATCTCTTCAATGTCCTCCCTGCTGTCACGAAATATAGCATACCATCGAAAAATGTTCGAGCAACTCAAACAATCACTACTGTACACATTTTTCATTATGTCGTACGATTCTCCGGGCGTTTTGTCTATTCAAACAAAATTTGATGTTGGCTCTCTATTCAACCGCCATTTTCCGACAAGCGTCAGAACAGTACTGTTACATTCAAGGTTAGAACACATGATGCAGCAATGCTTGTGCTTTGAAATTATAGACAGCCACAGCTGAAATTTCATGAATCTTAATGCCACAACTCACCAACAGAAGGCAATGCAGGGCAAAATTTAAAGAAATGAGTCGTAACGGATCCTGGACACACTGTGTAATTTGCAGATACCTCAAAAGATATAAAAATAGTGTTATTAATTAATTATAACAGGATATTCTTAACTCCGAATCATGTTATCACACATTAAGATTTATCGGCTCCCACTGCACATATGGTCCAGCTGGCTGAATACTGCCATATCATAATGCTAAAACACTCCTCCACTTCAAGCCAGACTACAGCAGCTATGCATACTGAATGATGTTCACTGCTCTATTCAGCTTTCCTTTATGCTTTCCTGCCATTTAGTTATTTACATCGCCCCCAAGAGGGCAACTACTGGTCAGAAAGCAAAAAGTTACAGCCACATTATCATGTCATTCACAGTGATTCATTATTTTTCAGCTCTGAGATAGCAGTGTCTGAGTAAGTCAAAAGGCAGACTAACAAAATACGATAGCAGAGACCTAAGAATTTCTACATTACTTTCGCCACAGTGTTCTCACTGAAACAACCACTTTGCTCTCAAACATTTCCTCTTTATTTTGCCATATTCTAGACATACCAAATTCCCTGAAAATGTACTAAGAATTTCATAATAAGAAAAATTCTAAACATTCATTGCCATGAAAACCCCATATCTCAAAAACAATCTAAATTCAAACACTACACAATGACATATTCATTAATAATTCCTTAACACCTTTACATTTTTAATTGGAGAATTTTAATTTGCCTACTTCCCTTCAGACAAACTTCTGCTTCAGATGAGTGAACTTACCATTACTTTGGCTTCAATCTCAGGAGCAACAGGAACAGAAAGCCTTTTCAGAAAGTGAACTACCTCAGGCAGCTCTCTAGTGCACTGATCTTTGTCAGCAAATATATGAACTCTGCACTCTGGAGGATCAGAGTTCTAGACATCAAACAAAATTAAATTCTTCAATCACACAATGAGCATGAGGATCTGAAACTACATTCCTGTTGTTATATTTTCTAATTATCTAATTGTACTGCAAAATATAAAATATAACTTCCACCTACCCTCATCAACTTTATCAGTATATCAAAAAGGAGTCTACTTTACTGGCATAAAAGTGTTCAACAATCTGCCACAAAGTATTAAAAACTTGGGCAATGATACTAAAAAGTTAAATCAGAGTTAAAGAATTATCTACATGCTCATTCCTTCTACTCTTTAGATGAATACTTCAATGTAAATAGAGAATGATGTAAAATTAAGTTATATTAATTTTTAAGCTAAAATTGCCTGTACTTATGTATGTAACCTTTTGACTTGTTCTGTATCCAAAGGTACTAACCTGCTTAGGATTTATAGAATGTAAATAAATTCAATTCAATTCAAAGAAAATATAGATTCTTATTCTAACTGACAAATCTTTTAACTTATGACAAACACTATGTCATGACATAGCAGGTGTGAACAATGTTATTTCAAGCATACTGAAAGCTGTGATATGGAAACTGATGACTATAAGATGGATATCAGGAATGATGAGGAATATATCATAAAGTAAAAGTACTAGTGAGAAAACTTAATGCAACTGTGACTGTTTATGTCTTCAAGGGGAAAAACAAGAAATAAAACTACTCATATACAGAAGTTCTCCTTGAATTCCTGCATCAGAACTGAATTACTGGTAATTATTCTGAAGAGATCTCTTTCTAATGACAACCATGGAGACTTTTAGCATAGGAATGGATCATTAAGATGCCTATGGTTGTCCCTTTGCCAAATTTTACCTTGTAACAGAATAATTTGAATAAAAGGTATGGTTTTCTGTTAATATGATGGAAAATATGGTTAAACTGCTGTGATAGACATGTATGCCCTATGGTAAAACACATTTGGTATCTTATTTCTACAATTACACACAACACTCTATTTCACTGTCCTACAGAAGAACAAAACATGACTGTCAGTTAAGCAGAAGTTAACCAACTACCTACATCTCTCCTGAAAATCAAATTTAAACCTAAAGTTACAAGTCATGATAGGCACACAAAATGACATTTCAAGGATTATAAGAAACTAACAAATTCCTTCATATAATTTCTCTTATATCACACTGACTATGCCTTACTTGTTCTAAGGACACATACTGTACATTAACAATGACTATAACAATAGAGAGATATAAATGTCCGTACAACAAATACCAGAATAGTGAAATTCCAGTACAACGAATGTATCGTCAATTCTCTACCATTTCCCTATATGTCTTTCTAAAAATGTTCCCAGGATAATGAATATTTTAATATTATGAAAACATCAGTATAACATAAGCAAAACTCTGCTCTGTGTGCGTGTGTGTATGTGGGGGCTTTTCTTTAAATTACATAAATAAATAAATAAATATGTATATAGTACAACACATAACAGGATGCATTCCTGAAAGAAAAAATAACTTGGTTAAGAATAATCTTTGATGGGATGCCTAGTACACTATGACAACACTAAAATACTTCCAATACAATGAAAAGCTTTCGGGGACAGATCATTTCACACATAGTTCATCTCATGTTTGACGTCTAGTAAGCAACTTGATGGATGGTATGCTGGATACAACAGAAGCATGCACCCTTAAAACAAAAACTGCAAGAACGTTTTTCAGCTTGATGACAATTTATAAATGCTGTATAGAAAACAAATATTTTACCAGAAGGCAAATGTTTCCATATCTAGCAGTAAAATTACCATTATGTTTGTACTGTCAAACCTCCCAGGCAAGGATCTAGAGTTCTTGTTCAGTTCAACCCTCAAACACTAAGGGACTTCCTGCGAAGAAGAATGGAAGCAGTGGACATCATCCAAAAAAGATGTGCCACATCATATGCATGAATGCAATAACGCTATCCACGATTACGTAGAAAAGTCATCATTAGAGAAAACAGTCAAAAGAAACTGGCTAATTTTGATTCAAAATTGTAGATAATTAGCATCAAAAACTGTAATTTCTGATAAATGTATAAAATAAAATGCTCTGTGTAATTTATTAGAAACCAGAATTACATCATTTGAGTAACTATGATATAATCATATTGCCAATATCAGTAACGCAAACAATGCATGTTATTTCAGTTCCATTATGTATTTATTTTTTAAAAATTATTTGTAGGTTAGGCATGAGAACATATGGAATTTGCATAAAAAATTATATAAATGACCGCCTCTGTGGTCTAGCAATCAGAGTTCCTGAGTTCGATTCCTGGTGCTACCAGATTCTGTGGGAAATAGTGGGTCTGGAACGGTGTCCACTCAGCCTCGTAAGATAACTGAGGACCTATTTCAAGGAAATAGTGGCTCCGGTCTGGAAAACCAAGATTAACGGCTGTGGGGAACCGCTGCGCTGACCACGTGACACCCTCTATCAGCAAAAGCTGGTACTAAGTTTGCCAACAAGTGGTGGTCGCTCGGTCAGTAGTCTGCTTGTGGACTACAGGCCATGGAGTTTTTTATGTTTAACTGTGGAAATAGTGTAAGAATGCGGCAAAAGTGTAGTTGGAAGCAGGCATGGTGTATGTATGGAGAGAGAGTGAAAACCAATTTTTCCAAGGATGTCTCACATATACTCTTAAAGAGAAGGGAATGAAAAAGTGATGCCTTGCCAGGAGCAGCCACAATACATGTCATGGAGGCTGTCGGCTTCCACAGAAGCTACACTGTAACCACAGACAGAAAGGAGCACTTTCTGCCTTGTGGTTTATTTCTCAATGGTGCCAAATTATGACCAATTTTTTCACTTGTTAGTTATCACCGGGAATACATAACATGTTGTCATGTAGCAAAATCAGTGGTCTTCAAAAAATTAATGAAGTGTAAATTGTTATTTTTTGTTTCGCCTTTCAATATATGTACTAACACTTCATTAAAATCAACATAATTTGTCACTCCTCAGAAGTTTGTTGTACTAACGTATCACTGTAACTAGGCTTTTGGAATATAAATGTTGATGTATTGTATGACCGCGTCAAAAATGAAAGGCAATTTAAGTTAAACTCAAAAGTAACACAGGCAGCACTGAAAAATATCACTGATACAATCAACATTAATCTTCTTTCACCTGCATCTACTTGATTTTTATTCCCTTTTCTGTACTGACAGTTATATAACATGTTTAAAATGTCTACTTCACTGGTAGAATGAACCAAAGAACGATAACAATCTGTGATCCAATTTTTATGATCAGAAAGTGTGAAAAGTTATGAAAATTTATAGAAGAATGACAGTTCAGAGGGAGATAATTGCAAAAGCCAGACAAAAGCTTATAAATATATAGGAAGATTGAAAAGAAGGCATATGACTGTCAATAATGCACATTCTGCAGTCATCAGTGCATAAAGTTATGGAGAAGATCGATCAATATATCCAAGACAACTGATGGATCACCACTGATGAAACTGCATCTTAAATGAGCATAGTCATGGGAAAGAAGACATAAGATGGCTTATGACCCAACTGAAAACATTTTATTCTGATGACACCATGAAACATGAGGACAAGTAGACTAAAGCTGTGAAAACCAGGGAGATTACATAGAAAATACATATGTTTGATTATCATGTGATTGTCAGAATTTATAGTAGGATTGTATTTAATTTTGCAATTACTTTCACATAATCATAGCAGATGATAAATGTGTTCTGTTACACAATTACCAGGCTACTTTTCTATCAATCTTATGAGATCTCCTTAAAATAGAATGTTATACAGAATTCATAACATGAGATAATACTTACACAGGTTGACTTGTCAAACATATTAGGATAGTTGCTCATGAGGCAGGAGAAGCGAAAGCCGAAGCCAGTCTTAGTACGAGGCAGGCTGTAGTGAATCAGCCACATGGCATCGCTCACATCCAGTTCAGGTAGCACATCATCTGTACATACCAATATTGGAAAAGCTCCCGGAACAATTGCACATTTCCAGCGTTGGCTTATTTCTGGAAAAAATATGGGTTCCTTTCATGAGTACTTGTTTCCATTTGCAAAAAGAGTAAAACAGAATTATTACTTACTTACAGTACAGCAGCATTATCAATAAATAAGTATTCATCATGTGATCAAATAAAGTATGATCTAGGCAGAACAAATGACACACATGGATCACAGAAGAAATGTATATAATGCTTTAATCTGTGAGAAACGTATGTATAGATGGGAGAATGATATTAAGATACATACGGCCACAAATTCCAAAGGAAACAAGCCAAATTGCACTGGTTACAGGATCCCAGTGAAATAAATGGGTTTAGACATAACACATCAACTACTGATCAGATACTGAAGAAAAAATGGGAGTACAATGGGACAGTATATCAGCTACTCATTGACTTCAAGAAAGCGTACGATTCAGTTAGGAGGGAAGTACTGTACAATATTCTCAGAGTTACGGGCACCCACGAAACCAGTTAGGCTGATTAAAATGTGTTCAAACGAACTGTATAGTGAAGTCCATACAGGTAAACATTTGTCTGATAATTTTCCTATCCAGAATAGTCTAAAACAAAGAGATGTTTCATTATCATTGCTATTCAACTATGTTTTCGAATATGCAATTAGGAAGGTCAAGGAAAACCAGGGTGGACTGAAATTAAATGGGACACATCAGCTGTTGGTCTATACTATGAGCAATGTTGTGAATCTAATGGATGACAATATAGATACCATAAAGAAACGCATACAAACTCTAACTGACGCTAATGTGTGTGAATTAACAGTTTCGACTGCCCTTTGGTATCAACATTCACAAATGAAACCCATGTTTCTTCACCTGTTACTTGTATGATGTGACTGAGAAATTCATCTCCATCTTTGTAGCTAAGGCTCTAAAAATGTTGAAGTCAAAGCCAAAGCCATTCTCAGCATTTTGTCCATACCTGTGAGCATTTATGGAACCCATCTTGTGCAAAAACTTGTGACAGCCTAGCCCAACTGTGATAATGTCATAGAGAACAGTGCATCAAATTTGTGGAAATTCACATATTTCTGCCTAGCAATGGATAGCTTTTCTGGGTCTACTGTTCTTGCTTTCATCCGTTGTGTCACAATATGGTGCATTCTGATGATTTGAATTTGTAATCTCAAATTTGATTCTATAAAGCAGATGATTCTATTAACCAGCGAGCCACATTGGCTACTGCCTATTGTAGTGAATCAGTTAATAGGTTGGTTAGTTAGTCAATAATTGAAATAATTTTGGAGGACATGTAGGTGATTCATATCTATTAGCATTCACAAGATCTGCAGTCACATATTTCAATTCACGGTACACTTACCAGTAATATGGCAGTGAGTCATGTCTTCATGGGCTGCCAGCACTTGAAAGCAGTGTGACTCAAGGAATGGCACCAGGTGATCAACATCTGCTACTGACCGGCACACGATGACCGTTTTGTGCTGGCCATGGTATCCATCAAGAATATCTATTTTCACAGTAGAAAATTTATCATACAAATATGGTTAGCACAGTTTCTCAGGACCCTCTCTACATCTTTGTTTATCATTTATAAAGGTTATGTCTAAAACATAACTGTTTCACTTCTATCAAAACCTTACATTTTTTCCTGTAATGTAGTAAACTGTATCTACAATGGAACCTGTATGAATTAGCAACTTACTGAATATCATGGTCAAATAGTTGGCACTCCTGCTTCATATCTGTGAAATTCTAGGTTCTGAGTATTAGATCAAAGACTGGTTTTCATGGCTGAGGTTGTTCACAGTTTTCCCCAGTGCTTTCAGACATATGTTGGGATAGTGCTATGAAACAAGTCGTAAAAACTTCTTCTACATTCTTTCCAATTCTTCATTAACATTTATTCTTTGTTTTGATACTACATAACCTATGCAGCTGAACACCTGTTTTTAAATAATCTACAAATCAATTAACCAATGGATCAGAAACCACTCATAAACAGAACATTTTCTCATGAAATTACTGACCTAGGACTGCTTCAGGCTTGCTGCTAGTACTGAGCAAGTGGAGGGTGGGCTGTAGTTTTGAATACACAGCAGCCTCAAGGTAGCCACTGATGCAGACCAGGAAGTTGTGTGATATGTGCTGTGAAAACTGTTCCACTGCAGGGCACCATTTCTCTGAGACAGCTATCACCTGAACAGGCACACCTACCTTTGCTCGTCGCACCAACATCTGCTTGCACTCAGTTATTACTCCCTTCAACTGAAATACATTAAAATAATTAACACAAGTGATTAAATATTCTCTGTTGTTTGCTTTGTCATTACCTTCATCCACATTTCAATGTGCAGACCTAACGTTATAAGCCAGGAAGTTAATAGTTAGCCTGTTCTTAGGCCAAGCTGTTGAGTGCTGTGACATGTTCTTTAGACAACATACAACAGAAGAATGTATACAGGATTGATCATGTCTGTGTGTCCACATGCTTAAACTTGAGAACCAGTGGACAGATTCTGATGGTACTTTAAATGCATGTTACACCACTGAAAGCCACCAGAAATGTGTGTTACCTCACTTCCACCAATACATACAATATGGTGAAAACGCAACCGAGAGTTGGGCATGACAACAGTGCCACTACTGAAATGTGGTAACCATAGTAACATTAGTAGCCATGGTAATGGTAGTAACCACATTTACAAGGAAAGTAATGATTGTAATAACTGTGTGAGCTTTAAAAAAATGTACAAACAGTTAAACCTGAATTTTCTGGAAGGGAATATCCATACATTCTAAAACCAGCAATATTATTAAACACTACTCTGGCCTATATGAGGGGGGAACCAAAAATAACTGGAAACGACCTGTTGCACGCGCATGCTTTGTAGTTACGAGTTGTGCTGCTAGGTGGTGTTAGCTGGGGGTCTCCCGCGACTGTTAGTGAGCTGGCGTCAGTCTGAGTTAAGTGGTTTGTCTGTGGTGCTCTGTTGTGTGCGTTCCTGTTTCAACCCTTTGGCGATTAGTGAGATGGCTGACCAGAAGGAACAAAGAGTGTGCGTGAAATTGATGAAGATCGTCGAAAGATCANTAACTCAGACTGACGCCAGCTCACTAACAGTCGTGGGAGACCCCCAGCTAAAACCACCTAGCAGCACAACTCGTAACTACAAAGCAGCCGCGCGCAACAGGTCGTTTCCGGTTATTTTTGGGTCCCCCTTCGTACATCATTTATAAATTCAAGAGTAACATGATGAATTAAAATGCTTATGAAACGTTAAACGTATATTAATGACAATAATAGATCTTAAGATTTTTTTAAGACAGCTCTGCAAGCACAGAACTGAAAGCTGAAATTCATGTTTTTGATGTACTGGGAACAGGTAGAATCTTCCCGATTGCCACAGGACACAGTAAAAAAATGTGCATTCCAGTATAGACTGTGTATTATAAATCTCGTTACTGTTGTCGTCTTCATCCTACAGTATACCAAACTACATAATGAAACTTACACAGATTTGACTTTGAAATAAATTTTGTTTCAAAAGTATCTGTAAAAGTTCTAACAAAAATATTTGGACCTAAGGTGGATAACATAAAAGACCAAATTAGGACATTTCAGTGAGGAACTTCATGATTTATACAGGATCATCTGCAACTGTTCTTTGGTGTTACTACTGATTAACCTTAAGAGTTCTGCTCTCACAGAAATAGTCAGTCAGTTCGATGTTCTTTACCAGTGAAGAGATGACAAGGCAATTCAGGACTCAGAATTTACTAAAATAATAGCTATGATTACATGTTCTGCACAATTAGTACAATGTCTACTGTACAGGAGAAAGCACAGATCATGCTGTGGTATGCAAACACTAAATCCATCATTCAAGTTCAACGTGATTAGGACATGAGCATGGTGTGAGACCACCTGCTAACATGAGTATTAGGAGATGCTACAGCAATTAACACAGACTGGCAGTGTACAAAAGACATTCTACTGAACAGACTGGGAGATCTGATGAAGATGTGGATTGTCTCCTGAGCAAGAGCATGTGTCATGTGCCACCCACCCATAAGATTAAACATTCACTCAGCTGTGTTGCTGCCTCTGTTCAAATGCCACATGTGAAATACACATTTGAACAATGAGTGTTCATGCGTATCTGAGTGAAAAACAGCAGTGTAATAAACAATAATATTCCACCATACATTTCAAAAGTTATAGTTCCAAATGGAAAACTATTTATGTACTCATAAAGAAATTAAGACATATAGGGTCATTACTGGTAAGAAGAAAGAAAAGAGAATAAAAAATGCTGAGTGTTCACTGAAGAGAAATAGGATGGAACAGTGCTAGGCCTGAACAGCCTCCTTAAAAATCTCTCAGACACCTCGCATAGGAGTCTAGGGTTCAAAAATATCAGCATGAACTGCCATAAAACTCAACACTGAAAACATACAAGGCAACAGACGGCCATCACATAACAAATACGCTTGTTTCATGTACTTGCAGTTGTTACACAATTTATTTAGGTGACACTGAAGGCTGCGCCATAGCTCAAGCGGTTAGTCGCTAGCTTCCCACCCCGGCAGCCTGGGTTTGATCCTGGGTCTGGTCAAGTGGGATTTGTGGTGGACAAAGTGGCGCTGGGGCAGGTTTTCTCAGAGTACTTCAGTTTCACCTGTCAATCTTCATTCCACCAATTGCTTGACAATCACCCTCACCTATCATCTGGAGCTGGTACAATAGGCCAGAAGTGGCTGCAGTACAAGGGACTTAGTCCCACCCCACTAGCAATAAAAGAAAAAAATAGGTGACACTCAAGGGAAACTGTAAAGTACATAGGTGCTTTGTTTGCCATGCCTGCTATCAGTCCAGGTTAACACACGTGCTTCTCCTGCCTGAGTGGCTGGATATTTTCAGGTAACTCTCAGCCAGTCAACCTATATATATATAAACAACCAGCTCATTTATTTCTCTTAATTTGTGTTCGTGCACACATGCTTGCCAACAAACAGGTGTGTGTGTAAATGAAAGCATAAAGAAGTTGTAGAAAGAAGAATAACAGAAAGACCCTTAATGCATATTACTTTACAATAATACATAACATAGCATGCAGTGAGAATTACATTTCAGTGTACTTCCACAGAGAAAGGCTTGAGAAACACACAGATTACTTAGTCACATTATGGAAAAACCAGGTCAACTGAAGTTATCAGCATTCAACTTGTGGTCACGAAGGCAATAAATATATGGTCAGAAAGGGAAATAAAAGAAACTGGACATGAGATATTTAGGTTGTTTAAAAATGATTGACACTCCCTTAATAATTCTGGAAAAGTAGAAGTGTCAAATGCGAGCCGATGTATGTGGGAAGACATACTATAGTGCCGCCTATGGCCATGAGATGACGTTGCTACGATGGCAAAGGTGCACAGTGCTGTGTCATTCATGATGTTGTGCAGGTGCAGTCGTGGACAATGCTCAGACAACATGGAAATAGACAATCACAGGCAACGGTGGACTGTGTGGTTGGCGGAGTTCTTTGAGGGTCTAGTCACTGTCAACAAGTCATGGTTCTGGCACGAGACTCCAATGGACTAGCGTTTCACCTCCAACGACAAGCTTCAGACAGCTGTCCAGCAGTTTCCCCCAAAGAATGGTTTGCTGTGCAAATACGGAAACTGCTGGAATGATGGCAAAGGTGCACAGACCTGCCTCTAATATAATCTGTATGTATTTTGTCCCAATAAATGGTTACTGTGAAGAAAAAATATTTAGTGTCAATCATTTTTGAACGTCCCTAGCAATATGTTGCATCAGCTTACTAAAAGTAAAACAGCATTTCATAATTAAAAAAAAAAAGGACTTCATTTTCTCCCACCAGACACATGAGAATGCAGAATCTTTCAGTACAGTTGTTAAAATACCCCTCAAGCTGTGAGAGTGTAATTTCCTGACATGCACAAATATGGATTACATATTGTGTCCAGGCTTGTGCATGTGTCACACCTTTCATGTTCTAGACATTCACTGGTTGTACTAGAGTCCCAAATTTGATAGTTATGCCTACTTATAATCCTTGACACTTCAAACATTGCTTCATGTAAAAATGTAGCTTTTCTCAGACAGCCATCTTTTTACCTGAAATGCACATGGCAACGGCTGAATTACAAGGTCCCAGTAATGCCAAGTAACAACAGTCTTTAAATGTATCAACCAGGGTTTGGATTCAGTTTTACACTCAGAGACTCCAAATTTGATCCAAAGACAACATAATGAAAAATGTTTCATGCATACCAAAGTTGAAAGCGTGACATACCTCAGAAAGAAATTTATGGGCTAGAATATCCACTTCATCCAAAACCAGATGTGCAAGGCGATCCACATTGGTGATTAAGCGGCTACAGCGCAGAAGACGCATGAAGCAACGTGGTGTAGAAATAAGAATATCACAGCCATTTGCAAGTGGGTCCTATAAGTACAACAAGAACTGATACAGATATGCTGCCTTGTTCATATTCCACTTAACTGTTAATGTTTAACCTCTATCATATAGGAATAAGGGATTTAAATCCTCCATACAATGGGGGTTGGTGATATTATTTTAACTTGTACTACTTCCAGCATTCAAAAAGTGTCCATATATTTGCTAAAACATTCTCGTAAACTAAATTATCAAATTATACAGTGCTGTTTCTCAGTTGAAACAAACATCATCTCCATGAAAGTTGATTCATTCTTAATACAAAATGTAATATAACGAATATAAATACAAATGTACAGCACTTAAGATTTCTGGAAATGTTTTTTTGCATGATTTAGAAGCTTAAATCTGCAAACAAAGACTGAAGAAAGAGAGGGAAGAGATTAGAGACTTTTTCATCCACTTACCTATATAAAACAAAAACAATGTTAGAAAATGGAAGAATCTTCTGTCACTTCAACATGGTGATCAGTGACATTTCCACATCTTCACATGTTACATAAAAAAAAAGGCCAGACACATAATGCACCTGACTAGAAATCACAAGAAGGAAAATGAATGGAAACTGTGGTTATAAATGATGATGATCATGATGATCTTAAAAAACAAAGCAATTTTTTTACAATAGGTATCCTGTTACATTGACCCCCATAGAATTGGTGGTTAAAGGACCTCTGCAGGTCTGCTGCCAATAGCAAGGCAGAGCAGTGAGAGCAGAGCAGTGAAAAGTCAAGCCAAACTCCTTGACTTTGGAATGATAAATCATCCAGCACAAACAAGTTTATTACAAACAATTCAATATTTATATGGTATTAAATGTTTCTGCCCTTCAGGGCCATTTTCAGAGGCCTAACAGTAAAAGAAACCTGCTTTAGAATTGCTGTAGGTGTTAGTATAACTGTAAGTTACACAATCATAAACTATGAATGCATGCAGATGGGCACCACTTTCAACAGTTTCTTTAAAATACAGGTGAGAAAGACAAAATCTAATCATAACACTAATCAAGAAAATGCACATACATCTGAAGTTCTGTACAATTCTCCCTGGCTAATGCATTAAACTGTGGCTAAGAAAAGCCATGCGCCAAATCTCATTAAAGTGTGGGTCACTTCAGTTTTGACCTCATTGTACATTCTAAAGCACAACAAAAAGCAATGACAACAAAGCGAATCCTTATTTCAAGCTTAATACCTGATCAGCTATTAAAATCCAATATGATGTTTCCTAATAATTCTGTTTACATATCAAGTAAATCTTGAGAAAGGAACATTGAATAAAATTTTGTAGCTGATAACAGTGAAATTTCTTTATAATTACTAATTAGTTTTGTCGGCTTTTTATAATAGACTTTTCTAACTCATGTGGCATTTCTTCCTTATTCCAAACAGAATTGGGTGTGTGGACCTCAAAATGTAATCTTTTACCTCTTGCTCGGATACACCCTACCAGAATTTGACCAACAGCTTTAACATCTTAATACCAATCTTAACCTTATGAGAATTCAGATCATGTTCTAATGGTACAGTTGTATGTATTTCAGTCTGCACATCACTGTTAAACCCATGCAAATTCAATAGTAGACAGAAGTAATTCTTCCACCTATTCAAAATATTGTTGGAATCCGCAAGGTCAGTTACATCCTTTACCACATTAATTCTATATTGGTAAACTTTCTTAAATTCATTTAGGCCTCTGTACAAGCCTCTGACAATATTTACCTTTTTCTCAACAATGATACTCACACAAATATGGTAGGTAAATTACAGTATCTGTCACTATTAAGCTTTCACCTACAGGAACTTACCCTTAACTCCTGTTCACGGCCCCCACCATAGGCTATCTCAACTCTTACTTTATTCTGACTTGAGAATTTCAGCAGTGTGCAACACTTCTCGTATACAAACTGGGCACTCTTGCTGCCTGAACAGAGCACCAGGACAAGTGGTCCATTCCCAGGTCGCAGCTGAATAAAGATTTCAACAGTAATCAATATAACAAAGGTTACAATTTAACCATGATAACTAAAACACCCTGCCAAATACAATTCAGTTCAAAATAGCACCCACTTAGGTTTTTTGTAAAATTAAAGAGTTCTTCTCATACAAAAGAATCCTCACCGATCTGTTTCATGTACTGCCTAAAAATGTATTGCTTATAACAGTTAAATAAAACTGACTGATGATAAATAATATCTGAAATGAAGTTGTAATGATTTATTTAAAAAATAATTTGGATTACAATACTGCAACACACCAACAGAATTTGGACTGCTCAGAGTTAATATACCATACTGTAGAACCAGGAATTTGTGTCTTAGTGGCCTATGTTTCAAAATTTGGTCGGGAGATTCAGTATGTTGATTACACTTCAAAATAACTAAAATTCCTATCACATCAATCCCAAATGAAAATTCATCAATTTAATATTTCTCATTTAATACACTATTTACAGAGAGGTTCAATGTGATGGCTATGGTTTTATCAGACTGAGGCTTGGCAAATATCAGTTGCACATGGGTAGTCATGCAGGAAGAGAACAAACTCTAGCATAGATACAAAATGGTAGAATGGAAACTGCCCATTGCTGATAAAGAGTAATACCCAAAGCATGTTATAACAGAAATTCTTGAAGCAATGTGCAAACAATATTTTAGATCTCTTCTTTGAATTATTAATTGAAGAAACAAGAATTCCACTTATATGAATAGTACACATGGCATAAGAATTCAAAGGAAGCCTAAACACCTTGCTCTATAAGTGAATAACTGCTGTAAAACAGGGGCAGTCACATTCACCTCATACAAATGTGTGATTTCTGTTTCTGAGAAAAGTTATAACAGAAGTGTATATTATTTGGTTCTTTGTTAATTTAACAATACACCTTTAACTTTATTAATCAAAATTCTTGACAATGTTATACACATCACACAGGCACTTAGGTTTTGTCACATAACAGTTTACATTATTAAGAAATGAGACTGAATATTATGTAACATCAGTTTCAACAGCAGCTGTGAAGTATGGAAGACACAATATTTTATGGACATGTTTAAACTTGGATGGACTGTTATTCAATATATGCAGTGGAGTCCATTTTATTGCTGAATGATCATTGTCAAAGAACCAATATTTACCAAGCTTCGCACTGCCATTGCAGTGATCTTCCATACATAATCACTATAGTTGACACAATGTCATTAAATAAACTAATATAAAAATCATTAGTGCTTTTTAAACATACACTGATGTTTCAGTAGCCATTTTGCACAAATTAATATAGTTGTACTTACTTCGGAGTAAAAATCTGGTGTCAACATGAAACTAACAACTGGTATAATGTAAGCAAGGGTTTTGCCTGATTGTGGAGGGCCAACCAAAACTGTGTACTGACCACGCATGATTGCTGGCCACGCATATGTCTGAATGCGCATAGGGTCCTTAATATCCATTTTTGCAAGAGCCTGCAAAAACCAAACATTATAGGTGAAAGTAATATCCTGCTGCAATATGTATGAAGATTCTGGAACAAACATAGGTGCCAGAAGCACTGAGGATGAAAAAGTCAGCATTACTCTTATGGGTACAGTAAAACCTGCTTATAATGAAATCCAAAGAGCCAAATATTGTTTGCTTTTAATAATGTTAAAGGTTGCCTTTTAACAAATCTCATTTATTCTGCAAAAACAAATGGTGCATTATATATATATATTCATGAATAAAATAACAAGCAAAAAATCCATGCTACACGTCTACACTTCACTGATACTCAGCAGTACTCATTTTCAGTTCTCCTTGCTCCTCACTCTTCTTCCCATTTTTAATTTTGCTCTTTCTCTTCATTCTGATTTCCTTCTTCCTTCTTTTCCTTTCCTTGCATTAATTTTTGGTCACTATTTCCTTTTATCCTTTATTTCTTCTTTCTTCCAGTATTCCATAGAAGTATTCTGTTCGTATTCTACTGCAAGTATGGATTCTCACTCACTAGTAACAAGACAGTTCTTTTTCGAACAAATTCCAAGAATAACAATACAGAACGACACTATATGAACAGACAATAAATATTCAAGCAGACTATTTCCAATTAAAGTTATTTAACAGAGGTACCACTGGTATTCATGCTACATATTCTTGATAGAAGGCAAATTTTTTGTGAAATACCCATTTATTCCTAGTTGTTTTATGTATGATCTACTGTACTAGACACAGTGAATGTAATTTACAACCACCATGTACTGTTCAACAACCATAGAAACATAAATACTGTCATGTGATATGAGAACGCTGTGGATTCTGGTAGGAAATGGATTTATTTTACACTAATTCATTTTGTCTGTAACTGTTTACAGGCATTCATAATCACCTGAAATTCATCAGTTAACTCCATCAGCTTGGTTCCTTGGCACTCCATCATGACAGATTTGGTTCTTTGCTGCACTGAGGTAGCAGGGTATTTTCAAGCAGGCTAGATATATATATATATATTTTTTTTGACCCAAGATGGATAAACTCTTTAATACCACACATGGTATTACCACCATTCAAGCATTAATGAGGGGCACATTCATACATGCATATATACAGTCACATGCTTATGACTAGACATGTGGTTCAGACTGGTAATTGGATTTATTGGAGTCTTTATAATAACTTTAATAGTTCAACGAATCTACACATTTTACAACTCATTACTGCACACAGTAAGTCTTTTCAGTCAGCTGTATCTTCACCAGTCATTGCTTGGTAAGGGCTCCCAATGCCATAGATTTCTCACCTTCCTCGTTCATGCCCTTACTGGCCGGTGACTGCCTCACAACTAACCCACCTCCAAGTGTGTCTTCACCTACTCAACTCCTGAATGCTCCAGTTCAGTTCCCGGTATATAGCCTTGGGGCGACCCCACAGAAAATACCACCTATAACAGTTTCTCTACTGTTGCGCACATAACAGTCACCATGGTCATATGCTGCTTACCAGCCACTGTGTAGCAACAGATCTCTGTTAAATTGTATCACCACATGTTTACAGTGCCATAACCTAGCAACAGGCATCTTCTGTGATTCCACCAATTCGTCTTTCAGGCATCATATCAAGACATATAGACAGCAAACCACTTATTCGTAAACAGGGGAGATAACAACATGTAAATCCATCAATCTCTTGAGAAAAATCCCCCCCCCTCCAATTACAACACTGCCTCATATAATACTGTATATACGTGTATGACAACGTAGAAAATCACAAAATTCCAGTTGATACCTGTCCTTTGTGAAGCAACAGGGAATAAAAGGGTTGATTATTGGTGGGGGGGAGGACAGTCATATAAACATGCACTAAAAATTTCTTTACATCCTGGATTATTAACAGTATACAAACAATTTCTTTGCTGAATTATCTAAGACTTGGGTTTACTGAGTTTCTATAGTTCATCTGTCATCTAATATTCTAAAAAGAACACACTTCAGAAGCTGGATCAGCTTCCATCCCTTTTAAGCAAGTGCCTTCTCACTGTTTCATGTGAGGGTGGCAACAAATCCTGTTTCTGAAATATTTTGTTCTTTTGGAGAATATTAAGTTATGGATAAATCCAAAAATTCAGTAATCCTGATTGTCACCACTGACACCACTGTCAGAACCTTTCAGAATTATCCAAGACTTCCTACTCAGTGCAAATTCAAAACAAAATCTGGAATGCAATAAGCCTACTCAACAACAGAAGCATAATCCCTAAAATCCCAAGAATGGAAACTGCAGCCACAAACTAAAAATCTATCCATCTCCAGGTGCAACACCACAATAAACAAGTATCATCTGTTACGAGTTCCCCACTATAAACTGCAACATCAATTACCAAATTACACTGAGACACCACATGATGAATGGAATATCCCAAAGTGTCTGAGCATTAAAGTTCTACCACTATAATTATATTCAAACTGTATCACTGTAGAAAAGGCAAGAAAAATATAATGTGAAATGTGGGCAGTATGTAACAGAAAAGCCAACTGTGATTTCAGAGAGTAACCTTTCCGACTAACAAATTTATCATTTCAGGTTCCTATTTCAATAAAAATTCCCAAAATCTCTGCACTGAAAGCACCATTAAAAGGTCGCAGAAAGAGATATATATAGATGGAAAAGATCTCCCTACTACTTATTCAATTTACACTTACAGCATAAAACTTTATTATATAACTGACATATGCAATACATCCATTAAGAAACTCTCTGTAATGTCAGTTTTGGGCACATTTCACAAGGGCAGACAACCATTGCCATGAACATGCAAACTGATGATAATATTGAAGAAAGCAGTCTTCTGGGATGTAGTGTCATGATATTACCTGATGGATTTCTGTGGGAAAATTTGCTTCCGCTACTGACTGAATAGCTCTAAATCCCATGTTACCATGGACAAGAATCCGAGATGTCTTGTGTTGCTCAGCAACCTTGTACCCCACACATGCCGTAGGGATCTGCGCTGAATCTTTTACACTGCAACAATAAACATTTTTAGACAATTACATGAAAATGATAACGAGAGGGTAACTGGTAGGAAATATCTACCACAGAAAAACACAACTTACATACTGTGACAAAAGTACCTTGACTAAAGCTTAATGTGCTTTTGTGTAGCCTACATGCTTTCAGAGCACAGTACTGAGGACAGGGAAAGACACCTGCCAACCTAAGCAAGAATAGTAGGCTGGAGAGATCAAAGTTATCTGGGGCTGATACATTCAGTTTGGATCTTCCAAATGTGGAAGTAACAATGCATCTATATTATTATGTGTCATTTATAGAGAAACTTCAACATATAAAGAAATGAAATGTCATGATCTGAGGGAGGATTCAAAGGTTTTCTCAACAACTAAGTACTCTGAAAGACCTGAGTCAACAAGAGAAACTCAAACTTAAAAAACTAACTTAGTTCACTGATGGATACAGAATTTGCAGTTGACCATTGCAACAGACTAGTCTTTACCCTATTATCAAACTTGCCCCATTTGAATCGTTTACTTGCCTAGGAAATTTCTTTGCCTTCAGAGTAAAAACTAGGCAGGTATTTAATAATGCTAAGCAGTCAGGCAACTTGGACAAATACAAAAATGGTCTTACCTGCTACAACAAAGATATGGAAGACCAAAAGATCTTCACAGAATTCTGTCATGGACTAACACACAAAGCAGTCCAAGGCTCACGAATACCATGACCAGTAAAACAGCATTATCACATTATGTGACTGGAGTTTCACAACATGTTATGGTACCCCATGTTAATTACTTACAATATTCTTTCCAAATTAACTGAGGAGTCACCTTGAGGCATGTAGAGTCAAACTTGAATGCCCAGAAATGAAAAATGAACAAGGACTGTTGCTTGATCAGATGAGCCATTCAGCAATCAAGGATAAGACAGATCAGTATCACCTAATGGAATTGTGCCTGCTCTTTCACAGCAAGGACTGGCATATCAGATTTCCTTACATATATTTAGGAAATCTGAACGGCCCATTTGAAGCAAGAGCTTTAACTGCCAGAGAACAGGCTCACGTTCCACTTAAAGCATTAGACATCTTCCAGATTAATTCAAATTTTACTCTTGAACTGTCTGCAACCCCTGATGATACATCTAATGTGGGTGCTGGCACAGAAGGGGACGGTGGGCAATGAACTGTGACTCATTGACAAAACAATGCTCTGGAACTCTATTCATAGGACCAGTCTGCAAGTGGAATTTCTTACAGAGCTGTCAAAGAAAGAACTCCGTGGCCTGTAGTCAGCAAGAAAACTATACCAACTGAGTGCCCGCTGCTTATTGAAGTTAATGCCAACTTTTGCATACAGAGGATGTCATGTGGTCAGCGAAACGGATCCCCATGGCTGTTAATCTCGGGTTTCTAGACTGGAGCCGCCATTTCATTGAAATAGCTCCTCAATTATCCTCACAAGACTGAATGGACAATGTTCGAGACTCATTACTTCTCAGAAAATCTGGTAGCGACAGGAATCGAACCCAGGACCTCTGGATTTGTAGGCAGAAACTCTGACCACTAGACCACAGAGGTGGTCCATGAAGCTGTCAGGGGGGCTATAAAGGACTGAAGGAGTGGAAGATACATGGAACACTCTAAGTCCGTAATCAGTCACAGGCATGTGAAGCTCCTTATTCCAAGACACTCACTAGACATATGTACCTACTGCAGTTCAACAGGACCTAGAATCAGTCAATATTTGTGACAGATTCCATTCATAATTGATGTAAATCTTCTATTGAAATGGCCTTACACACACTGTACTCTTCAAGTCCCTTACAGAACTCAAATACTGCCACTTCAGAAATTGTTCACTGAACATCAGTTCATTATCAGAAAGTCCCAATCATCAATCTTTAGCAATTTATTCAAGGTGGAGGTCTGCTGATGGAATAATGGTGAGAATGGACACTGGATCATTATTAGTCATGGTGCATGGTCTATTCTAATGCAAATGCAGCTCTCAGTACTTCTGACTTTGATCTCTGACCTTCAAAATCTACAAATTCCTGAGCAGTGTCACTGAAGGCTTAAAGGATGACAATTCAGGTATTTCCTTTTAATTATATGAATAACTGTCAGCAGATGAAGTCTTAGAGAAGTGGGGAGAATATAGCAGAATCATTTTGTTGCAATTTCCTTTATTTTAATGTATTTAATTCTTGAAATTCAACACATCAACTTCTTTTAAAGTAAATATTGTACTATACATGCTAAATAATGTACATGCATTACACTGCTATGCCACTAGAATACTCATGTAAATGCTGCAACTGAAACTGGTTCATAGTCACTGACTGTCTCAACTTCATGCATAATCCCTCGAAGTCTCAGAAACCAACTAGAACTTGTTAAAACTGAACTGCTTTCACTGTCAGTACAAAAATCAGTGATTCTGAATACATGCCATATAGGAAGACATTTCTTGAATGCCCTGTAATAATTATAGAGAATTGATTTGTAATAGTCTGTACTCCTATAACATTTGTCCAATTTACAAATGGGAGATAATAACAGTAATAGTAACAACAGTCTCACTCACTCACTGGGTAACTTATTTTCTGTACAAGCATCAAAATTCTCATTCTGGCATCTCCTTAGCCTCCCTCTTATTCTTCATCCCATATATTTACAATTGCGTAATTTTCTCTTCAACTGCATTTACAATGATAGGTTTTCATGTATTTCATTGTTGTGTTTCAATTAATTACACATAATCAGATAAGATTTTTAAAGCCTGAAATTTCTATCTCCACAATTATTTCTTCTTTATAGTCACATATCTGTCTCATTACTATCCATGTCGCATTACCTTACCATTATCTTGCTCATGGCTTCATTTCCAACTTACCACTCACTACAGGATCCATATAATGGCTTAACTTAACTCTCAACTCTAATGCAAAAGATCCAAGTTCTTCTGTATTTTTTGCAGATGTACTATAAACAGTCACTTATCCATAATAACTAGAAAACAATATACAATTAATAAAACAATTATAACATCAAACACATATGATTCAATTATCTGAATACTCAACATGATGTATACTCACTATGAAAGTAGCAACAGATTCTGCAACACTAGAATTAAACAGTGGAAAACTGTGTAAGAGGTACAATCAGTAGCAGCAGATGCACAAGAGCAACAGATGAAAGCAGTATCTTGAAAGGAACTGAATATTCAACTGGTAAACAGAACCGTGTGAGCATTCTATCATCACAGGAGAATTCCTATTACACATTTTTTCAACATAAAGGTAAGGTTGCCCATGCTTAGCTAATTAACACATTGAGGACCAGTTGCATGATATGCTTTCGGCTTTTAAACGTGGCAGACTGGTCACATGATATCATGATTTTAGGGCACGTTAGGTTGTAACACACTATACCTCGCTCTGGCGCCACCCAAGTTGCATGAAATGGCGTAATAAAACTCTGGAATGTTTGCTTACTTGTCAGTAGCTTGACCTAGCTGTTTTCTTAAGCCACTATAAACGAAAATGCTTTGCTGCTCTTCGAGCTGTATGTATCAGCCAGTAGTTAGTGGTGGGGTATGGACAAGGACAAATTCTTCTCCGATGAGCCAGGTGACCAGCCTTATGAGACGCATAGTCATGGTGATTCAGAGAGCAGCAGTGACAGGGGAGAACAAAGAATTGTGGCCACAGACAGTAAAAGTGACAGCAGCTCCGACGATAATGCGGGGACAGTAAAAAATCTAAAAAAATCACAAAAATCTAAACCCTGATTCGAAATTGAAATACAAAGCATTTCTGATGAATGCGGCAAAGGCCTGGCCTACAGACCAGATGGTGGCGGCAGAACCAGGGTCACACAAAGACTTAGCACGACCATGCCAATCAACTCCCACCTCACAAAGGCCTCATGTGGACCCTCCAGGGCGACTCTCGGGTGATATGCGGGAACATACCCTCATGAAAATTGTGAAGAGTGAACATTCCAAGGGGAAGCATCCTTCTAGGCAATGACGTGTTTGCACAGTTTACAAAAAAAGGAGTATGTCTACATTTGCAAGTTCTGTGTAATGCCACTTCACAAAGGGGAATCTTTCCAGAAATATCACACCCTCAAGCACTTCTAGGAGCATTAGTAAGTGTTCTCCAAAAATTTTAGTTCATAAAATTAATTAAGAGATTTTATATTAATTTCTAAGTGAACAGTGCACAAGTTAGGATAGTAGGTTTAATAATGGTGGCCCCAGGGTGATTTAAATATTTAAATCGCCAGTCCTTAATGTGTTAAGCACTACACTATGAAGGTGTATGGGGAAGTGGATGTATAGAGCCATTTTTTCAACATACAAACTCAAGAGCCAGAAAAATAAGAACATTTGGAAAATAACAAATTCCTTTCTGGATAGTGGTACTATCTCATATGGTTCCCAAACACTTCAAAGTTCTCTTAAAGGAAAGGGGGCAGCAACCCTCCACAACCCCACTTCACCTCAAGCACTGAATATAATATTTATATTACACATAATCATGAAATTAAATGGCATTTACAGAGAAACATAAGTGAAAATCTATTACACAGTATAACTGTAAATTTCCAACACATAGTTTTCGTACATACATGTACATACACGTAACAAAGGTACAAAAAAGAAAATACAATCTTATGTTCACTGGTAGCTGTTTTTATTTGGGTAACCATACTTTTCAGTATTTTGTGTTGAAAAACAAACTGAAAATAAATATGGGGATTTCTTATATAAAAGAAGTTATGGTTTAGTCAACTATTACTGAACTATCAAATCATTTCAGACTGTTAACATAAATAAACCTACAATCACCAATGCCAGCTGAAGTCCGATTCAGTGCCATTTTCTTTGCCATCCCTAATCTATATATTACTGAGGCCACTAATATCATAAGGAGAGTTTACATTGTCATTATAAACAAAAGCTGAATGATGACAAACTTTCACTCCTAGTGAT